AAGGGAATGCTACAAGATGGCCTACAAATATCATGTATGAAGTCTATCATTTATTCATATTAGACTTTCGAGAAGGAAAATTAGCAAGTTCACTTCTTGTATCATGATCTTGACTAAGTGGGTTTGGTTTGTTTATGGTCATCCGTGATTGGAAGTTAGTAGAAGAATTTGAAGAGGAGGTCATACCATTGACTAAAGAAGAGAGAATATACATTCCATATCAGAAGACCACGTCCATCTCGATGAAGAACTAGGTCCATCCTATATGAAAAGACCAAGCTCATCTAAGAAAATTGAGTGTTGTTTTTTTCCTTTTGTAATCAAACCCTTTAGAGGTTTTAACATTAATAATATGTTACTTCTCGTCCATGTCGATTAATTGACTTTAGAGTTTCACTTTACTTATATACCCTTGTATGTTTGTGTTATGGGAGACCCTATCTAGTATAACATAATTTTGACAGTCCAATTTAAGACATGGTCATGAGTGATCTGTGTGAATTTTAGGAATAATGATAACTCGTAGGGAACTATGATAATTCAGAGGGAGCAATGATTCCCTAAAGGGTGCATTTATAACTTAGAGTGTGCAATGATACCCCGAAAGGATTCAATGATACCTTGAAGGGTGCAATGATACACCGAAGGGCACAATAATACTCTAGATAGTCTCCCAAATTTTTCCTGCCACCTATTTATTATTATCCGCAAAAAACCTTCTATTACCTTGCCTTACGTCTGAATCCATCATTTCTTCCCAGCAAAGAACAAAACCACCAAAGTAAATAAGTTAGGTTTTGTCAGATTTCAGAGATGACAGTTTTATAGCCACCGGAAGAGAAAGCGATAAAGGAAGGAAAGGAGCTCTCTTATGAGGAAAAATATGAGGAACCAATAAAAAGGAAAATTTAGATTTGTTCCTCTTCTTCTTAATAGGCTTCAACAGAGATTTCATTGTATTGGGAGACCCTTTGAGCCTCAACGATACCTCATTCCCATGTGTAGCAACTTTCTTAAAAGCCCACTGAATCTGGACTTTTCCACCTTTCTTCTTTTTTTAACACGATCCACCTTCAAATGGGCCAGGCCCAATACCTTCCCCCCGACCCGTTATGACAAAAAGAAGTATCGTCACTTTTCTCTAATTCTTTCAACAAAGAACATTTGTCGTTGTTGCCAATCGCCACCATATCAATGTTCCTAGTTGCCTCGTAACAATTGACTTTTCCATAAAAAACTAATTGATTTGACCCAACACTATTTTCCTCTGCCAACTTGTCAGGTAATAACTTAGGAAGTAAAAAGTCTACCCCTATTGCAGAACTATTCACCATATGAAATGAGTCTTCCTTTGCCAAGTTGACATCCAACGAACACCCTACTTCCTTTAGGTCAGTCCCTCCTAGATTATCATCTTCTTTAGAATCGATAAATTCAAACAGAACCCCCTCCTCGCCATAACTATCATCAAACTCTGATGCAACACCGTCAACACTATCTACCTGGTTCTTTTTATTAGGAACTACATGTCTTAAAGGACCCACTTTGTCCTCCATAATTTTAATGTGAAATTCCACTCCATTAATACAGACCCTCAGAATATCATTGACCACCATAACACAACAGGATCTGATCATAATGTTGGCCACATCATACATAATGTTTATGGTGTTTTCGTACTTAGGTTTTTCGTTAGATTAGGAGTTTGCGTTATTACTATGACTGAGCTTGCAAAGTATCATGAGTTTTTAAATGTTGAGAATATAATTCTTTATGTTAAAGCACCATTTCAATAGAGTATTTTGTTGTTGAAATGCTCTGTGTGTAGAAATTATTTAGTTGTCAAAATATCGAAGAAGTGTATTTCGACAAAAATGTAGACTTAGTTTTATTTTGTGTTTTAGCTGAGTTAGGTTAGTTAGAGATTGGTTGGTGTGCAAGCAATCTCTGGCTATAAATAGGAAGGTACCCTATATTGTAATAATTTAGTTGCTTAGAGAAAAAATATAATAAATTTTCAGTTTGAATGCAGAAAGAAACTTTGCAGAAATATTCCCCGTCTTTCCCATTTTCTCTCAAACCCTAATTTCTCTTATCTTCCCCAATTCATCTTTTCTTTTCTTCTTTAATAATCATTGTGCAACAAAATCATCTTACAAGCAAAATGTGATTAATTCACTCGAGTGAAGAGTGAAGAACAAAATGCGAAATTAATAGAAAGAATTGACTCTTATTTATCAAGATTGATTTGAAATGCACTAAGTTTTTGATGTAATCCAACACTAAACAATAAAGTGTAGTCTTATTTTCTATCAGTGGGGTCCTTTTTGTCAAATAATCGTGGCTTATGTCATATGAGTTATTTATTAATTCTATTTAAATTAATTAACAATTAATTAAGAGAGTTAACTAAAAGTTAATTAAAAACAAAAAAAAAATTTAAAAGAGTAATGCTCAACTTTACAAATTATCCTAAGTCGAGTTTGAACAATGCCACTTGAGATTATAAATTTAAGTTTATATCTCTAAAACGACACATGTTAAACGTTATTATATTAAATCTAAATTAACATTAATTGAGTGAGTGAGCTAGTTTAATTGATATTTGATATTTAATTAAGTTAAATAATTGTAAATGGTTAATTCATGATAAAGTTGGACAATTGATTGGTTTGAGTTGATATCGGGTTTAAAATTTAAATCCGACATAACAACTCGAATCGATAAATTTTTGATTCTCCAATAGATTTAATTAAATTGGTTTAACGGTTATATTGGTTTGACGAATAATTTAAATGAGTTTAATCAATTTAATATTTATTGAACAAAATTCATTTTAAAAAACTAACTTTTTTATAAAATTCACACATTCATTTTTTTAATTTAAAAAAATTTATCAAAATTTTAGAATAATCCGAAAAGAAAAATTATTTATTTAATATTGAAAAAAATTATAATTATAATATTATTTTTAATATCATTTGATTTTAATATTAGTTTGATCATTATAATATTTTAAATCACAAACTAAATACTAATAACACTTAATTTCATATTATATACCTTGTATTTTTGTGAATACACAATGTGATCATTAGATTAAAAAAGTAATTACTTGATAAAATTATGAATTTCATTTTTATGTGTCACCAATAATAATAAAAATAAATATTAGTACATTTGATTGGATTTAACTTCTGACTAGTTCAAAATAATCATGAGAGTCGATTGAAATAATATATAAAACTTAAATTAAACAACTTAATTAACTTGACTGATCCAATTCAATCTGCTTTCAAAGATAATAAATTAGTCGATTTCAATCGAACAGTTCAAATTTATCAACCGTTAATCTATGATTCCATTTCTGAGGTACGAATATAAATAAGTTGTTAGTAAATTTAAATCAATAATATTATTTATTTAAAATTATCTAATTTTATAATGACATGTAAAAATTGTTAGTGTTAATGTAAGTTTTAAATAATATGTAAACATGTCAATTAGTTAAACTAAATAAAAAAGAATTTTATATAAACTCTTGCATCAATAAAAGGAAATATATTTTTTTAATATATTATTTGAATAAAAATATAAAAATTATTAAAATAATATAAACTAATGAAATATTTCGTTCAAGATAAGTTTAAAATTTTTCAAAATTAAAGAATTTCTAAATTAATCTTGAATAATTTTAAAAAATTTAAATCATCCTTTTTTTAATTTTTAAAAACTGAAAGATGATTATAGTTTTTTAAATTTGGAATTTGACCTAAAAAATTTTAATTTGATAATAAAAATTTAAAATTAATTGTATTACTCTATCAATACAAAATAATATAAAAATTAATGAATTTTGATTTAATTATTAAATTATCTCAAATTCTAAATTACTTTTTAAAAAAATCAGTTACTCATTTAAACATACTATAAAAATATTAAAGTGCTTTGTCTTTGGATAATTCTTTGTAATCATATGGATAACTATGATCTACTAGGTAAAGTTTATCAAAACTATTCTGAATTATTATGATTTTACTAAACTTACATTTTGTAATTGTTCTGGCCTGGGCCCCCGCTTGACCGGGAAGGCTCAACCCACTTATACTTGGTGAAAGACCCAAATGAGTCCCCCTCATCTGTGTCGAGCACGAGGCTCCTGTCGACCAAGCATTACCCCGTCGGGCAGAAAGACGTGTGCCTTACACGTGCTCCCCTCCACGGGGACACATCATCAACCAACTGCCCACCTCCGAAAGAGCAGGTCAACCCACTCTCCGGAGTTCACGGAGCAGTTGAACTAGGGCGAAGACCACGTTCTGGTCTTCACTACGCCATGTAAGCTCTAGCAGTCACTTGGGTTGGGTCTGACCATCCACCCCAACTCAAATGACTGTTGGCCCTGCGATAGGGTCTCTATAAATACCCTCTTTTACTAAAGGGTCAGATATTCTATTCTCATCCTACTTTCTGTATTTGTTCTCACTCTGTACAATTCCTTACTTTGGCATCGGAGTGTCTTGCAGGTACACCCCCTTTCTCCTCTTCAACACCGGTAAACAGGCAGCAAGTCAAAGACGCGTGGCAGTCCAGTAATTCCCTTCTAATTAGATCAGATCAGTAACTTTGGCAAATTACAATGCACTTTCATTTTTGGATAATTTATGACAATGTAGGATGAGGTTTCCATTATTTGAGATTGAGAATACAAAGTAATAAAAATGTATGGAGTATGTTTTTTTGTAATAATTTTAAAAAATATTTGTTAGGTAGTAATGGAAAAGTATGACACGTTGGATATCCCCAAAATTCATTATGAAATCTGAGCCGTTGATGCCACTCTTCCTTCCTCTATTTATATCGAATACTTCCACACACTCTGTTTCATCACTAAATCTCTGTCTTAAGAGCTTTCATCCAAATCAATAATCTTCCTTCCTATTCTTCACTTGTTTCATACTCTTTCTTCATCTTTGTCTCTTAAGACTCTCACATCACCAATGGCCTGTTTAGAAGTCTGCAAAGAGGTAACCATACATTTTCTGAATAAAATTTTACCATAAAGTTTTGTTGTAATCATCAAATATAATGTTCCAACATTACTAAACTAAAGTCCCAAATCCAAAACAAAATTCAGTTGATCACTGGCAATATATAGTTTTGGCTTATTATATTACAAAGTATTCAATATATATAGTTAAATATAACATATAAGTACTAATTAAAATACTCCCATTTTGATGAAAACTATGAACAGGGAAAATTCAAACAAGATACAGAAGAGTTAACTCTTGATGGGAGTGTTGATTGGCATGGTCGCCCTGCAATCAGAGCCAAATCTGGTAGCTGGTTTGCCGGAACTATTATACTACGTAAGTTTCTTACGTCGACAATATACTTATATAATATATGACATGAATATATCTCGATAATATATCATAATATATGATATGAAGATATTTTTACATCTAAAATCAAATATTAATATTTTTAAGTTAGATAATATAATATGACGTCGACAATTCTCAGTTTTTTGTAATATATGTTATTGCATTATTAAATTGTATATGGCCCTTAATTTATAATACATCATCATGAGAGTGTCCCTGTGTTAAATTGGATGGCAACAAGCTTAAGAGCTCAATAATTATGTTACTTTAATTCATATTTTTTAAAACTGTTTTTGATGTCTCTTAATTCATCCAACGAGTTATGTAATTGATATACATCGACTTCAATAATTTTTGTTTGGATAATGACCGAACCGTAGTCATAATATGTTACTTAACACAAAATGTTTTTTTCCCAAAAAAAGTAACCGAAAACGATGATAAGAAAGATAAATTTTGAGTGTAAATAAGGGAGTGAAACGTCTACGTAATAGTTTAGTTTAGTTTCGATGAGGAAGATAGAAAAAAATAAAAGAGTCGTGGCAAAATTTAGAGCCGTAGAAGATTCAAGAACCATGTCCAGCTATTATTCAACATTATGCAATTAATCGGTGGTTTATTGACTATGATAGCTTATCAGTAGAAAAAGAGTGAAAACTTTGGAACTTTTTGTCCACAAAACAAAAACTTGATCTCTTGTTCATCTTATCATCACTAAAAAATTCAACAAAACGACAACGTTTTTAAACAAACATATAGCTAGCTACAACTACAACCTATAGCATGTGCTTCATTCAGTTCACATTTCACAATGAACAGAAGAACAGAAAATAAATTAGCATGCAATTTTTTAGTTATAAAAATATATGTTTTCAACACGTAATCATAAATAGGAATTAATGATGTGGGTTGTTGCCACGTGTCATGATGCATACATGCATGAATTGAATAACCATGACATGGAGTGTGAGGAAGAGTTAAATTCTATATTTAGTGCACTGAATTTGAGTTGAGGACAGCTTATAATTAGGACATAAGTGTTACTACTAGTAGCTTTTTTTTAGATACGACAATATTCCAATTTTGTCACCATTTACTTTTTTCTTAATATAAAAATAAGAAGAAAACTTATGAGATAATGTTAGAACTAAGCCACAATTTCAATGTATGGCTAGTGATGATCACCAATAAGGGTTGGTTATATTATGTTAAGTTTTAGTACAAGGTTTAAGTCGGTACTATTTTAAATAATATTAGGTCTAAATCTAGTATATAATTTTTCATACTCCATTATTAAAGTCTAATTCTAGTATTTAAAGTCTCAAACTCTCGTGTACTTTTCTTTCGCAAAAAAACAAACAAAAAAATTTTAAATGCTCTTTTGATTCTTTATTTCATAAAAATGATTATTTTTTATTTTTAAATTTTTATTTTTTTAGTTTTTTTATTTATTTTTCTTTAATTCTCATCATATTTTTGGATTTTTATCCTCTATTTCATAAAAAAATTAATTTTTTTTTACATTTCAGTTTTTAGTTTTTTAGTTTTTTTTAATTCTCATCTTATTTTTGGATTTTGATCCTCTATTTCATTAAAAAATATATATAAAAAAAACAGATTATTTTTTATTTTAATTTATTTCTTTAATCCTCATCTTATTTTTGGATTTATTTTACTAACATGACAATGCATATATAATAAAATTAATATTTATGTTATATTATAGAATTAATTTTGCTAATGTGTTATCTTAAATTTATTCATCATATATTTTTCCGTAATCAAAATGAATCTCAAAAGAAGGGGAGAGATCAAAATACAGAAGAAAAAATTCAAATTAAGATTAAAAAAAACAGTTTTTAAAATTGAGAAATCAAAATTTCATTTTATCTTGATAAAGGGACCTAATTCATAGTGAGTGAATAGCTTACAAATTACTTGATACAAATTTTAATCTTTTATAAATTTCAAATTATAAATATAAAATAATATCAAAAATACAATCATATTAAACAGAAATTGACTTGAATTTTTTTTTTTTTTTTGAGTGATGAAGGTTTTTGTACATAGACCAATAATCTATGACATGATGCTAACAATTTGTATGTTTTTGACATATTTGTTGAACCAGTAAACCAAGGTCTTGCAACCTTAGCATTCTTTGGAGTTGGAGTGAATCTAGTTCTGTTCCTGACAAGAGTTTTGGGTCAAAACAATGCTGATGCTGCCAACAATGTCAGTAAATGGACAGGCACAGTTTACATCTTCTCTCTTGTTGGTGCTTTTCTAAGTGATTCTTATTGGGGAAGATACAAAACATGTGCCATCTTTCAAGGCATTTTTGTTCTTGTAAGTAATAATAATCTTTCAATTTCATTTTTCCACTTTAATTCATTTCTCATACTATAGTACATTATATTAATACTATGGTTTGATTTTGATATAACAGGGTCTAGTATCGTTGTCCATTTCATCGTACTTCGCTTTGCTTAGACCAAAAGGCTGTGGAAACGGAACAATTGAATGCGGTAAACATTCCAGTTTCGAAATGGGAATGTTCTATCTATCGATCTATCTAATCGCGTTAGGAAATGGAGGGTATCAACCAAACATTGCTACGTTTGGTGCTGACCAATTTGATGAAGATCACTCGAAGGAAAGTTACTCGAAAGTGGCGTTTTTTAGCTACTTTTATCTGGCGTTGAACCTTGGTTCGCTTTTCTCGAACACCATTTTGGGCTATTTCGAAGATGAAGGATTATGGGCTCTTGGGTTTTGGGCTTCTGCTGGTTCTGCATTTTTGGCTCTTGTACTATTTCTTCTTGGTACTCCAAGATATCGACACTTTAGACCCGCTGGTAATCCTCTTTCGAGATTCTGTCAAGTCCTTGTTGCTGCTTCGAGGAAATTGGGAGTCCAAATGACACCAAATGGAGAGGACTTGTATGTCACCGATGAAAAGGAATCCGCTACCAATTCCAATAGAAAGATTCTCCACACACATGGTTTCAAGTAAGTTATAGAACCTAATTTCAATCTAAACTGTCATTTTTCTAATATCTTACGCGAAGTGTCATTTCAATGATAAGAGTTTCACATTATAATCTGAATGGACAAAAATTGAAATTGTCTCAGAGACAGATGTAAAACGATCATTAGTGTCATAAGTGCGTTTAGAGAAGTTTATCTCGAGTGCTTCTCGACTAATTATGCGTTTGTGATCTATATTGCAGGTTTTTGGATAGGGCGGCATTTATAACTTCAAGAGATTTAGAGGTTCAAAAAGGAAGCCAACCCAACCCTTGGTATCTTTGTCCTATAACTCAAGTTGAAGAAGTAAAATGCATACTAAGACTTCTTCCAATTTGGCTATGCACAATAATATACTCCGTCGTTTTCACTCAAATGGCATCACTCTTCGTCGAACAAGGCGCTGCAATGAAAACCACAATTTCCCGCTTCAAAATCCCGCCAGCAAGCATGTCTAGCTTCGACATCCTCAGCGTAGCCATCTTCATTTTCTTCTACCGCCGAGTCCTGGATCCACTCATCGGAAAACTCAAAAAATCAAGTTCGAAAGGACTCACCGAGCTTCAACGAATGGGAATCGGTCTAGTCATAGCCGTAATAGCAATGGTTTCAGCCGGGATAGTCGAATGCTATAGACTCAAATACGCAAAACAAGGCGGCACAAGCTCTCTAAGTATCTTCTGGCAAATTCCTCAGTATGCACTAATAGGAGCCTCTGAGGTATTCATGTACGTAGGACAACTAGAATTCTTCAATGCTCAAACACCAGATGGATTAAAAAGCTTTGGAAGTGCACTTTGCATGACGAGTATCTCACTTGGTAACTATGTGAGTAGCTTAATTGTTAGCATTGTTATGAAAATTTCAACTGAAGATCACATGCCAGGGTGGATCCCTGGAAACTTGAATAGAGGTCATCTTGACAGGTTTTTCTTCCTATTAGCTGCTTTGACATCTATAGATTTGGTTGCATATATTGCTTGTGCAAAGTGGTTCAAGAATATTCAGCTGGAATGCAGATATGAAAACAATGATGAGCATAGTAGCTTCAAAGTTTAACCATTTGGTATATATATGGATTATGGACTAGTAGTAATTAACATTATATATATATATATATATATATATATATATATATATATATATATATATATATATATATATATATATATATGAATAAGAGAAGGAAGGTAGGAACTGTTATAGAAGAAAAATGTGATGGTTTGGATTCAAAGAAGGCCTTTTTGTACCTGAGTCTCTTGTAAATGTTTTCAGTGTAGTTTTTTTTTTTTTTTTTTTTAATTCTGACTAAGATTTTCAGTTTATGTACTTGAACCCATGGTTGTGTATACTGAACTTTTTGAAGAGGCAATGATAGTTGTAGGGCCTCTCTGAGCTTTCCTTTCATTTTTTGTAATTTCCATTGTTAATAATCATGGATGTGTCATTTTTATTTATGTGTGTGATATTCGAGTGTTTCTGTTGTTAATATCTTAAACTAATGTCTTAGTAGACAAACATAGGAAGTAACAATCAAAGTGTTAAACAAAAGTCATGGTTTTGGTCACAGAATCATTATGTTTGCTATCTCTTTCACCTAACTCCATAACATAATCAGAAGGGGGAAGGGCTAACGAGCCTCCACAGAGAGTGAGTCAAGAAAATAAATTTAAAATTTATTCATAAAAACTAAAAAGCAATGTGTTATTACCAAAGTAGAAAGTAGAAATAAAATGATGTAGAATGAAATGACATATTTGTAGTGGTGTGAAAATTCCTAGTGGAAGGAAATATTAAAAAGGCATCATTATCAAACATTGTAGGGCGTTATCATCTTTATAAATCAAAAATCTATGTAGATTGATTCCAAAACCATATGATTTAGTTAAGAAAACCAAAAACTTTGGACTCTATAGTCTGAATTACCTTTTAATGACGACAACCATAATTGCAAGATTAAGAATGACAAAATATATTAATAGAAAACTTTCTGAATAGTTCCACAATTGTCTCTTAACATCACATCAAAGATGCTATAGTAGCAATTAAATTAGAGAACTACAAATTTATTATCAAGATTGCTCTTTTTTTCCACAATTCTAATCTCTTTTTTTTTTTTTTTTTGGAAAACTTAACCTATCACCCACCAATTAAATCTCGCACTCTCCCTCCAATATTTCATAATTTTAAAATTGCTCCCGGATAAAAAAACACGTTAAATTTTCGTATGAATTTTTGATAGCTATAATAATATTTTTGGTGATTTATTTGAAATTTTTGGTAATGTGCAAATTATTCCAAAAATTTCAAATTTTCGTAGTCATATCAAAAATTTCAACCTAAGTGAAATTTCTGGTAGTTTCATTTATTTGATTTTTTGGATGATCAGGATTATGCCGATTGTTTTGGATGGTTGTGATTGCACCGACAATTTATTTTCTCCAGAATAGATACAAAGTTGTATAAATAGGGGTCACGTGTTGATAAACACATCTTAAAAAATGTCTCTTCCTCAATTTTTTATTAAGACAAAAGTGTACTTCAACAGAACTTCTCCTCCTGTAAAGTTTCGACTTTTCGATGATACCACATCTCTTGTCGGCCTGACGTCGAAGTTAAATGAATTGTTGCTTGATGGCGAAAGCAAAAAAGTGAGAAAGATCGAGTTTCGTGAAGATTAGATTGATATTAATGGAAGGGTGAAATACAACCTTATTGAGTTGAAGACCAACGAAGATGTGAAGGAAATGTGGATATCATTTCGCTGTAGGATAATAAAGGGGTCGATCGAGTTAGATGCTAAGCTTTCAAGATTCATTGACGACATAATGGAGATACTGAAACATCCTGAAGCGTGTGGTAGTGTTTAAGTTTTTCTTATTTATTAATCATATTGCAATGTTAAGTTTTTTATGCTTAAGTTATGTAATCCATTGTCAAATGTTAGTTAACATTCACACTGCAATTTAAGGAAGATCAATAATATTAGCTAATAAAGTGTTATGATGAAGATGTCTGAATAACATACAGATAATACAAAAAATGTCTAAATAGGCTCCCCATGGGTTATGTGTGTAGCCCGAGCTAATACAGTATAAATCTCATCATCTGGGTTTACCAAACCCATGAGGTTATCCAGTATAAACCCCCACTTTACAATGATGCACCCTCCTGTCATAAATGGTAGGGAAATGCTCGTATATCCAGCACTGAAATTAAAACACAAACACAACAAATAATAATTTAGAAATGTTATTCGTAAAAAATAAATACGAAAGCAACAACATATAATAAGTTCAAGTATACATGTAACATACTCAAATAACCAGCAAGTTGTTTGGTCTCAAAGATCGTCGCTACTCCAAGGGTTGTATACAACTGGGTCAATGCATCACATCCCCAAGCTTAGCTGGTATCCTCGAGGATACTAAATAGGAACAGGTAACCGAACATCAATATAAGTACCAGACTTATCCGCGAAGAGAGTACATGCTACTATATGTAGCATGTACGCCTTAGCGGTAGCCTCATACCTCCCAGTAGCTACAAGATGATCGTATGTATATATTTCGAAGCTAATGCATACTAAGATGTGCACCCTTGGTCTCACCAAAATACTTTAGCACCTCCGCCTCACTTAAACTCAAACAATGTGCCACAACCTAACATGCAAGGGTCACGCTAAGAATGGGAGTCGTCCAAAATTTGTCGCCGATAGGGATATAATGTGAAGGCATCATCAGAGTGACAGTCATCTCCCCGAACAGGAGATGAAATGATGATGTCTTCTTGTGCCACCTCTCAACAAAGGCACTAAATAATGGAGTGTCCAGCATGGTAAGGGAGCAATGGGAAAGCAGCTGGAAGTCCCGTAAAATTTGACTGACCTGCTCAGGCATTAGAATCTTCAGGAAGTCCTTCATCTTCGACCTGTGCGATGTTACGTTCAGTGTGGGTAGCTCATGTGACAACAAAGCATAAACAAATTAGTTTATATCTCATGTGGCAGATTTATATAAACAAAAAATAAAGCTAAACATAAAAGATATGCCTCGCCCTACCATAACCGTAAGGCCACATGCTCAACATACTCTATAAGCACGGACTAGTCGATGGTTCCTCTTGGGAAACCTCCATCAGTGTGCATAGAGGGCTCAGTCGAAGGAGTTGTAACCTTTGTGTCAACAGTTACCGATGGTCCCGACTCACTAACAACAGCATCTGGTTGTACCACCTGAGCAACCTCCTCTGAACCAACATCCTTAACAACCTTCTGAGCAACAATTGGATCATCTACTGACTCAACCATCGACTCATCAACAAGATCAGATACAGGAACATTTGGCAGCACCTCATTTGTAACATGCTTTACTGATCGAACTGGTCGGGATCGAGTGGAATAAAGTGCATAAAAATGACCCCGCTCAGCCAACCTCTTCTGGCATAAACCGGTTAGGCCCACACGTCTTGCCCGTAGTTGGGAAGACTCAGCATCAGCACCCCTGTCAGCCCTACCCTGGTCTGCTGCTCGATCAACAGCTCCCTCTACAATAGTGTTGTCTTTATCTCTGATTTTCACTGCAAAAGAAGAAAAAATAAATGTTGAAATAATAATAATAATAATAATAATAATAATAATAATAATAATAATAATAATAATAATAATAATAATAATAATGGGAACCACCGAAAATTTAAAAATTTTCGGTATAAAACTAGATTTTTAAAACTAACAAAAATTTCAAAACTTCTGGTACAAAACTAGAGTTTTATAACTACCGAAAATTTCAAAATCTCCGGTACAAAACTAGATTTTTATAACTACTGGAAATTTCAAAATTTTCGATAAAAAAAATGGGTTATGTACTAGAAATTTTAAATTTTCAGGTAGAAAATACCGGAAATTATGAAATTTCAGGTAGAAAAAGTTTCTGGTATTTGTTGCGGTGAGAGTCGTGATACCAAGCTATTGATTAACTTGAATCTTAATTCTTAAATTCACAACCGAACTTTAATTTATCCAAAGGAAAGGTTTAAAGAAATAAAAAACCTTTTTGCGCTACGTAAGAACGAAGCTAAGAGATCTAAAGGTTCGGGGGTTGGTTATATCTAGGGTAGGTATTTCACATCATAAACATTTATAGTACTCTACAGGAACCTCTTGTTAGTATTCGTGCTATGCTAAAGTTGCTTGCTAAAGGAAAATGTGCAAAGGGTAAAGATATACAGTATATGCAAAGTATGCTCGCAAAGACATCGCATCTCGTGTCTACGTATCCTGACGAGAATGGAATCAGAGCAACCGTAGTTCCCCTAACTAGGGGTGAGAAACTCTTGACTGTGGTCAAGGTTCTAAAGGGATGTAAGCATTCATATGGAAGTACTTACATGGAGTGCGGCGACTCCTGAATCTACGTTGAGATTGTTAGAAAGATAGGTAAGTAAGTATCCATGGCGGGAATTTACATGGAGTACGGTGACTCTGATCCTAAGGTTAGGATAACGGATAAAGGATGTCCATGGAGGGACGCTAAATGTGAGTACGGCGACTCATATCCTAAGGTTAGGATAAAGGGTAAAGGTAAAGGATATCATATGTAACCACAATGTCACAACAATGTAAACAAAAGGTTCAAAACCCTCGTGAGGATAATCAACAGTTTTTAAAGGTGAAGCACTAAAATGCGTACAAGCAAAGTTGAAATTCAAACTTAAATACACAAGGAAGCCAACAAGCCATGTTCATAATCTAAAATTAAAAACTCAAAGAGAAATAAAGTCGCAATTTTGAAATGAAGAAATGAGAGATAGGAAGGTAAAAAACCCTAAAATGAATTACAACTTTATTTAATGTAAAGTGTTTCTAAAAATGGGATTTTAGAATTATTTAAACATTTTATAAAAGTATGCAATAAAATAAGAATTATGCAAAAAGAATCACCTAAAAATGATTAAAAATGGAAAAGTTATGGAAAATTGAAAATTAAATAAAATTAAATAAAAGTAAATAAACTAGTTGCTAAAAAATAAAGAAATGCCTCACCCAAGGCTTGAACCCA